TGTATATATAGAGAAGATCAAGAAACATTTGAGTTAATTTATGTCTGTAATTTGTCAGCCTAACATAAAACATTCAATACAAACATTGCTTACAGATGATTTGCCTTGTATACTTGTTAAGATCAATCAATATCGTTGTTCTCTATTTAGAAATACAAATTTACGTTCCTTCTAAAGCCAAGTGATGGAATTGGTTGTAATAAGGACGAGTGAATTGGATCATAAGAAATTAAACACAAAGATAAATTCTCTCTAATAAAAAGTGTACATAAAAGATTTTCTCAACGATCTTAAATCACAAAGGCCAATTATTTCAAACATGAATTCATGATAAAAAACACAATTTGACTTCAAACTTTACAATGGCAATTGTCATTATATGGAACTGGTAGCAAATTATTAATGAAGGATTCGATTTTTCTGTTAAATGGAATGGAAAAAAGAATCCAGCAGCTTTTATCTTGGTGTTTTGGCCCGATTCCATTCACTGGCCATCATCAGGTGATTAACTGTGGCTGATGTTCTTTATTTATCTGGTAATAAAAGATAATTGAGGAAGTTTTTTGCATGGGTCTGGATAGATGGCGCCAACCAAAGGAGAAAGATGAAAAGAAACCATTAAGAGTTTACACATTTTTTTAATTTGTAAAAATTGATTGAAGAATGACTTGAATTGAGAATGTGGCAGAGAATTTAAAGATTATAAAATGGCCATATTATGTTGAGAAATACGATATGAAGAGCATTCATTTACTGGCAATTGTTAATCTCTATTCTGTGACAGGGAATGTGTGTGTGTGAAAGAGAGAACGAGATTCTCTGTTTCATCACCTTGGAGCAGTTTACTCTGTATATGTTGCTGAAGGCACCTTGAGTTTTTAATTAAGTCGATAATTAAACAGTTTAGGGAAATTAGTACCTGACTCATATGCAACTAAGAAAGGAAGAAGCAGTTATAAATTAATGCTTATTTATTATAGTCTGGACTTCAGATGCTGTTATTAGAAAAACAAAGACTGGCTTCTATCTCACTCATGATAAAACTTTTTTTTTTTCCACATCAAACTATAAAGATCAATTGCACTCGTTCAAAAAGACACCTGCAACATTTTACAGACAATTCGATCTGATGATGACAGTCTTTCTTTTTTGGACCAACAACAATTTAACACCTCATGTTCAGGGCAGTTAATCACTGAGATTTCAAGATTCCAAAAATTTACAACCTTTTCTAACACTGAAAAGGTTTTTTTTGGGGTTTTTTTTTTTTTTTTTTAATTCCAGCAAATTACATTAGTAAAAGTGATTTGTATAATTTGACATTGTATCCACAGGGGGAAAAAAAAAGACATTTTTTTTTTTTGTTGTTTATTTAGAATTATAAATCAAATAAAAAACAATGCAATTAAAAGAAAAGACAAAAAGAAACCAAATAAAACATCAGTTGAATGTCATCAGTTTTTAGGTACCTCCAATAATTCTCTAAAAAATCAGTATAGCATAATGATAAAAGGTCTGAAACTTAATAAAAAACAAAGTTTCATCGTTAAAATGTTTATGTTATTATTAAAAGGAAAGAACAAAGTACTTCTTAAATATTTTTAAAAAATTTTTCCTTCTTTCTAACACGTAAATTAGGATAAAAAATTTTTTTTTTTCTTTTGTTGTTAACTTTGTAATACTTGTGGTAATGGTCATTTTAGTGTAGCAGTTTCAGGAGGGAAACCCATTAATTTGGAAATTCTTGCAAAAATCAAATAATTGTCTGATTTTAATGAAACTTTCAGAATTCATTAAAAATGAATGAATTTATTTTTCAAATTTTTATTTTTAGAAAATCTTGGTAAAAATATATCTTTTTTTTCATCTGTTAAACAATTTTATGAAATTTTCTAGAATTTCAAAAAGTACACAAATTGTTTTATTTTTACTTATAAGCAGGACTCGTTGGAAAAATTAAATCATCAATTTTTTTTTTTCCACAACTACTACCAACTTTTTAAAAATCTGCTCCAAATCGTAGAATAAAAACTGCAATAAAACTATCTAATTATTGAATTAAATACTTTTATTTGCTTTTATAAATAAAATACATTAATGACATTATTATCTAAAGAAAATAATTTTTTTTTCGATGAATAAAGAATTTTTACAAGAATTGTTTACATTTTTATTTTATTTTTTTTTCATTTTTCTTTAATTTTAAAAAATGTTTTAAAATTCTTTCATGCAGAGTGTGGGATCAATTATTATGTTTTTAAGTGAAGACTATATTTATTTACTCAGTGAAAATTAAAAGCATAATACAAATAATGCTACCAAAACTTTCTACCATAATTAAAAAATTTTTTTTTTTTGTGCATCAAAATGTTATATTTTTTTTTTTAGTATGACATGTTAAAAAAGTCACGTTTTAAAGCTTGTCTCCTCCTTTGAGGAAAGCCATGATCATATAAAGGTCTTTATTAAATTTAAAAATTAAATTGAGATAATAAAAATAATCTCATTTATTATTCAATTTAAACAATAAATAATTATCAAGTGAATATTTTAATTATTAATAAAATTTTTATTTATTATCTCAGTTATTAAATTAAAAAAAATAACTTAATGCATTATCTTAGCTATTAAATAATGAAAGAAATAGAAGTAACTCAATAATGTAAGAAATTTTTATCGTATTTTAAATTATTATAAGAAACAAAAAAAAACATTATGTCACTTTTGATGCACCGTACTAAACCTGTCAACACATTCAGTCATCAAATTATCGATGGAGACATGAAAATAATGAGACCCTGAGGTCAAGAAATGTTTGTCTAGAAAATTTTATGCAATAAGTAAGTGATTTTTGTTTCAGAACAGATTAATTTAACTTTAAATTTGCTAATTTTACAAAAGCAACGTTTCAGAAATGTATATCTTATTTTTCGGTTTTGAAAATCCCGCTAAAATAAGTTTGTTTACATTTCTCTAAAAAAAGTTACAAATGGCTGTTTCGATTGGTTTTTCGGAAGCATTGACTAAAACTCAGTCAAATTTCTATTTGAAATACTCCACAGTATTTTTTTTCCTGGAATTAGAAAATTTAATCCTTTAGCTTTCAAGTGAAGTGGTTAGAAAGCTTCGTAAAGGATTTTTCCTTTATGAAAAATACATTTAAATCTTAGGTATACAAATTTTTGGAGGTACCTAGTTTATATTTCTTATCACACCTCTCAACAAAATTGAATCCAGTGGATGGGGTTAGTCTTGTTAAGTGGCCTGTACCCCAGCGCATGAATGTATATAAAAGAGGAAAAGAAAGAAATGTTATGACTCAGGTAATGAAGAACTTTTACTGGCAATATTGGTAACTTCAATCTCTCCAAGCAGAAGAGACACACAATATTTGCTGCAAACCTAAAAGAATAAACTGAAACAAATACAGCAGGCACATATTGTGTTATTGGCAAGAGCTTAATTTTCTTATCAAGTGACAGTAATTCTGGCAACCGAAAATGATTTTCTTTTATCACAGACTTTTTGCTGATAGCTTCAGTAATTCAGGATCCACAGTAAAAGCGGCTATTTCCAAAATCTCCAAAATGACAAGAAAGATTTTGTGACAAGTCTCTCTTTGGGGCGGGGGGGTAGATGTGCTGTTCATTTGTTTACACAACCAAGCAGAAAATTCCTTTTGGCATCTTTGAAATAAAATCCTGGAAACAGCAACCATCCTGAAATGGTACAGACATTTTATGTGCTTGCCGAGATGAAATAATCATGACATGAGATTATTTCACTGAAAACAGGTTGGTTAATAAAGTACGTTATTTGCTATTATGGTCAAAATTTGTGTGAAAATCTGTCTTTACAAGAAAGAAATGTGAAATGTATTTTTTGTTGTTTCCCACTTTTGTTATTGACAAGTCACAAGTTTTCTAACCAAACATTGGAGCAACAACAGAAATGAATCAGGGATGTTGTCGATTGAATTTTCAAGCAATGCTTATGGCCCAAACCGTTTATTAAAATAAAGAGTAAAAGAAAAATCTTCCATGAAAGATGCAGTTAAGAATTACTATCAAAAAAGACTATCTATTCAAAAAACACAATGCTATGATCTCTGAAAGGCAGAAACTACTAACAGTCTACTAGTCAATAAGAGTAGCTAAAGTCACAGCTTCTTATTAGTCAAGAGATCTTTTGGAGATGATTTGCTTTATCCTTTTCCACAAAACAAATCAGAAGCTCCAGTGAAAGGAATGAAATCTTACATTGTTTGAGTGTCAAGTCCAAACATGTAAACAAAAGACTATCGACAAAGTGCTACGTACTTGTTTCAATTGTCCTGCCAATAGAAACAGCATGAAAATGATGAAACCGTCCATTAATATTTTCTGCTATAAAAAAAGGGACATCTTTTTATGTGACACTGCATAAAACTGGCATTGTAGGCACCTAAACATTTCTTTTAAAGAAATATCAGAAGAGAAGTTGAAGCACTGAGAGATAATTTGCATTTTCATCGTACTAATTAAAAACAAATGATGCAATGGCACTGAAAAAAAATTCTTAATTAAAAAGAGTTTGCATGCAGTAATTATGTAAATTAGTAAATTGCTTTGAAAAAAAAAAAAAAAAGAGGATTTTCCACAAAGGCCCTAAATTTTTGTTTTTGTCAATTTTTATAAAGTAAAACAGAATTGTATTCTTAATTGATTTAAAGCATCATTTCTCATAGAATCCACATTTTTGGCAACAGAAGAAGATTGTCAACATATTTTTAAAGCATTTGCTACTTATCAGAAAGATTTTGAACAGTTTCTAAGATTCATGCCAAAGTCAGAATAAGATCTGGATGTGTTGGCAAAAATTACATGAACACATTTTAATTGCATTGGGATGAAATTTGGAAAAAAAAAAAACCACCTTTAACAAACATTTTTTTCTTCTTCATTTGCTAATATTTGCATTTCTGCAAATGAAATATTTTTGTTTTAGCTTCATCCACTCACCTGTATTCATTGGGACTATGTGGATCACTGAGGAGTTGCAAATGCTGAGCTTCTTTTGTGCTGCTATAACACCACACCTAGGAAGAAAAGAAATTTGATGACATGTGAGAAGATTGTAGCCATTTAAGATACAAAACTGACAACTTTTTACCCTTGACATACATTTTGATAAAAAGAAACGTTACTGCAAAACAAATGTTACCTTCTGATAAGAAAAAATAGCAATTCTTACTTTTTTCTTACAATAATTAAGAGTTTGAAAAGAAATTCACCCATAATAATAACAAATGCTGATGAAGACTTGTAACAGAAAAAGAAACCTCTTTTTCCAACATAATTTTATTTGTCACAATTAAATAAATGCTTACAAAAATACAAGCAGAGCAGAGAAAGGAATTTAAAAAAAACAATTTACCTGTGCAAATCCTAAGAAAAACAACTGCTTGTGAGTCAAGCCCAACGCAGGTAAGGGTAATTCGGCACCATTCGTTTTTACCCAATCTTCATAAGCCTGTAATTTAAAAATGAAATCCTTGAGAAAACTCAACTGGAAAAATGAAACATTTTTTTCCTCAATGTAGCAAGATTACAGACAGTTTTGCTTGGAGCATTTTATTTTTGATTCACAAATATGGAAGGTAGAGATAAAGAAAGAAATATTGCTCCCTAAAATAGGATTTGTGCCCCTCAATAATTTGGAATATCCTACCAGAGGGAAAAATATATATGAAATCATTATGGGTGGGTATTTAAGTTATATAGTAGCGGCCATAATATAAGGAACGGAAACAACAAAGACATAAATGTGTGTATTACTTAAAAAGTAATATTAAGGAACGATGTTAATAATTTGCATAAACTTTTAATTTACATTGTTAAAAAACTCGAGAGATCTTTTCAACAATAAGTAAAAAAACCCATTTATCATTAGGACTTTATTTTGAAGCAATATGGCAAATTCTACACGAAAACTGCTTTATTTTTGAAGAAAAAAACTCATTATCGCTAACTATCAAGAAAAAAAGTCAATTTCAGAAATTTCTGATGTTTACCAAATATTAAATTTTGTTGATATTTTGTTCACAATCAAGTATTAACAAGATCGTTCCTTAACTTTTGTCCAGTAGCTTATTTCCTTTGTTCCATTTAATCTTTATTTAAAAAAAAAACTATTATGTAAATTTTTGTAACTTTGTATAATATTTATACATTACACCCTAATCTTTATTCAGTAAAATTTCATTGCTAATCATGCATTACTTTATAAGTAATACACATATTTATGTCTTTGTTGTTTCCGGGGGTTATATTATGGCCTCTACTGTATATATATATATATATATATATATATATATATATATATATATATATAAAACCAACATTAAAAGAATTGCTAGCCAAAGCTCAGAGAGACTCCTTTCACCCTCACCAAGGGCAGCTAGCCCATGCCAGTTCTCAACCTGGTACTTTACATAGCTCCGCGGGATATATATATATATATATATTTTACACTAGATGTCGGAATAAACAGATCGTCATCAATGTTCCAATATATTCACTTAAGATGGGAAGGAAAACTCATTACAGCTTAACCCAGTCATTATATTGCGTGTGTCTGCCGAGAGGAGTGTACTGACTGGTATTGACCGTGATCTGAAGAAGTTAAACTCTGCGACAATAACACATGAGAACTGTTGTTCGGAGTTTCCGTGGCAAGTCTTTTGCACCATTAATTTTTTATCAACAGATCCAAAAAGTGTGGATGCTCCTACACAAGCCTTCACCACTTTAAACAAATTATTGTGTTAGTTTTCTGACAACTACAACTAATTAGTTCCACATATATCCGACTACTGTGAAAAACTCTACGAAAGAACATCAACTTCATCTTGGCACTTGGAATGTACAAACGCTCCAGGACAACTCAGCACGAGAAAGAAAAACAGCGATGGTCGCATTGGAGCTAAAGAAGTACAACATTGATATAGCTGCACTGAGAAGTAAACATGAGTCAACTACATAAAACAAGAAAGCAAAATAAGACATCTAACAGTGCTGCACTTGGATACAATACATTCTCTTGTACTGTTTGTGGTCTTTTGTGCAATTCTCGAGCCGATCTCAAAAGTTCTGCCTGTCATTGGCATGCAGGTAATTAGTTTGTGGTCATCGGAAACTCATACATCGAACTCAATGGGATTGTCCGTCATATATATATATATATATATATATATATATATATATAGAGAGAGAGAGAGAGAAACTAGAAGAACACTTAAATTTCCTAATATAATAAATCAAAGATATTTCATATTTTATCAGTAAATAAATAAACAAAAATGAAATTCTAATAAAAAAGATTTTGACTGATATAACCATTTTTGTATAGATGGAAAGTAGTGTTGAAATGTTTTCATCTTGATCCACTTCAAAATTTGACCAACCATCAAAATATATATTCTTTGAAAGGAATATGTAATTAATGTTTTTTTTTGTTTGTTTTTTTTGTTTAATGGCATTTTTCTGCACACTTTTCTCCTTATCTTTTAACCCTGATAAAAATCCTTCTGGAAAACACAGTGCCCATATATTTTGATATCGAGTCAGCTAATCAAACAAGTATAGTTCGACTGGGTGTTGCCAAAGGAACAGTTAAATAACACTAAATACAGTATTCTGAGATGTATTGATAAAGCCATTTCAATTAAAAGATACTGAATATCCATAAATATATTTCCAAATGAGATGATTGCTGTTAAGGTGTGGCTTATTTTTATGCAGAGTTCCTTATTCACAAAATCTCATTTGGATTGGCCTTGAAAAAAAAAAAAGAAAAAAAACTGGTTGGTTGAAGCAGTGCTTCTCAGTTGTTGGTAGAGTGTGTACATTTATTTACTCCTTGTGAATTCAATAAACACTAATAAAAAAAGAAAAAAGGGCAAAATATGTTGAAAATTTGACTCAATAACAAAGAGAAAATATGACAAAACTGCAAGGTGCTGATATGACAGCAGTTACAAATACAACTATGAGCAAGCTTCTTGAAAAACAAAAAAAGAAAAATTACTGCAATTCTGGTTCAATCTATATCAATGAAAAATAAAATTGCACCATTCTGAATATATTTCAGTTTACATGTTTATATGTACACAGGTAATAAACCTTAATTATGGTAAATAATGAGATATCCAGATCAATCTGTGCACAGGTTAAAAAAAAAATGAGAAGTGCATTAACAGTACTAAACCTCATATTAATATATTGTGTAACCTCTTTGGGTCTTAACACAGATTTGTACTCTTGTAGGTTTGTACAAATGGTGAGTATCATCCCATGATACATTATTTCACACTTGTTGCATCTGCAAGAATTGTAAATGATCTAAATCTATTGCTGCAGATACATTCAATGGAGGACACTTTTGGCAATTGTGTCAGACAGAGAAATTGTAAACCATGATATAGGCATCATAGGGGCAGGTATTATTCTGCTGGAATATGTTATAGGATTGGTTTGGTTTGTTTTACAGCATATCAACCTCAATAGGTTATTTAATACTGACAAAATTTTTATTGCTGGTAATACTTTTTTTTTTCCAAAAAGTATTGCTGGTAATAATTTTTTCTTCAAAAATTTATTACTGGTAATAATTTTTACAGAGTATTTCTGATATTAAAATATATTTTTACACCTTCATAGTGTTTTGACCCCAGTTTGGGGGTTAGCTATTTACCCATAGCTGGGACCCTAACAGGTGCTACCACTCCGAGTCGAGGTACACCTGGGAACACCAGCAATTAAGAGGTGGTTCAATGCTCCTCCAAACCTCAGAGGCCTTGCTGTTGGACATAGTTTATTGTCTTACCCAGGATGCAGATTTAGTTTATCGTCATACCCAGGATGCATGTGTTATAGGAATGGTAGCAAAATGGTTTAGACAATGTTGATGATGTACATGGTGCTGTTCAATGTTTCTATTTACAAATGCCAAAAGCAAGTGAGAATTATAATTTATGGCACTCTGCAAAAACAGTGTGATATTGCTCCCCTAGTAATTGACCATTATTTGCCTGAGGATAGAACCTGCTCTCATTATTCAACATTACGGAGCATCATTTGATCTCCCTCCCTATCATGACTCTTTAACAACACCAATGGTGGCATACATGATGGTGCTGTGGCATGTGAGAATCTGGCTAGAAGCATGCATGCCTATAGTCCTACTGCCAGTAAATGATTCTGAATGGTTTGTGTTGACACTCCTTGGGCCACATTTGTTCTGATTTGTGCTATGAATGCCATGTGGCCTGCCAATGCTGCCCACTTTAAAATGTGTCAGTCTTAGTGATGAGAGTCCAATACTACACTGCTACTGGGTCTGCAGCTAAAGAAATATTCATTTTATCACATGTTGGTGCTTCAATAGCCACAATCACATCCAATATAACCAGTTATTTTAACAAAAGGAGCATGTGTGCATCTCTCTGGCATGACATATGCAGATACTGGACTCTTTCACACAACAATGAATCTATAAATCTATCTAAAGCTTACTCCCTCCCTCCAAGTGTTAGTATGTCACAAGATGTCCAAAGATTTTCATCATCAGAATATATACTACTACCCTACACAAGTTAACACTTATCCTTCATAGTATTGCAATTTTCTTTTCTTTCAATATAAATAATTCAAAAAGGATGAGGAAAACTGTCTCTTCAAGAAATATCAGGACAATGGAACTCATTGTTTGTATTGCTGGTGCTGTTATCAATATTTGCCAATCTATTTTCTTCAGTCTTCTTCAAGTGAAAGAAAAGAGAAAGACAGAAAATGTTAGTCAATATAGCAACTGGTTCCGTTCATATGTTGGGAAGTGTGGTTGAATGGATACCAAGGATTTGTCTATACACGACGTCAGGATGTATTTTTTTAATAGCAATCCCATTCTTTGTTTGCAATTTCCTTACTTGGGTTGGTTTCTTACAAAAGAGTTTCACAAAAAACTGCTTTCTTATCCCAGCCATGCAAATGTGTAAAAAAAAAAAACTATAAAGATAATTTCACTGCAGTGTTTTTTTGTTGTTGATTTTTTTTTTATCTCAGTAAGCAAAGAATTGGAAACTCCCCCACCCCAATAACATCATATGTATGTATTATCAGGAAGGAACTGAACTGGCCTTTTATATACTATCCTCTGTTCTTGTTTTCCTTTTGGATTAAACATCTGAAGAAGGCTGCAAAACTGATTGACCAAAATTTTATCATAACATCAGACTCTTATTAAAATTACTGACAATATATCTTTAAAAAAACAACAGAAGAAAAAACAGGTTCAAGAAAACAAAATGCTACCCTGATAAATATTAGTGTGGTACAGAAATGAAACTGGACACCAAACATTTGTCAAATGTTTTCTGACTTGTAAAAGTGGCTTTTATGCAAAAAAAAAAAAAAACAATTGTTAGGAGAAAAAAAAAACTGAAAGAATTCAAATTGAATAGGATTATGACATGTGACAGATTTCATTGTTACTTGAGATTGAGATGGTACTCGACTTATATGAGCAATCCAATTCTATCCCACTCATTGACTAGTCACTCAACAGGCAGAAATGGTTCTGATGTTTTGAACTTTGCTCTAATATAAAAAATCTATCCCAACACCAGGGACAAGGCAATTATGCTAAATCTATTCTCTTTCTCCTGGTCAATCAATCATGGTGTGTGTGTGTTGTTGGGAGGGGGTGTTGTGTATCAATGGCTGTGTTTTGGTTAAGATAGCTTGATCGAGCCCATTCTTATTCAGGCTTGTTTTGAATTCAGATTTCTCCTTCTCCTAGATTGGTTGCTATCCAAGGCAAAAGACCCAAGTCTGTCTTGTTATTTAACCCATAACTAGTGGGAGATGGATAGATGCTTTTCCAAAGACATTAATTTGAACAGACTGGGTTAGAATTTGAACTCAATATGTCAATTCCACTTCCATGTTTTATACCAATAACTGCTACCCACATTCCAAGGTAGAATTTCTTTAAAGCACTTTCAACAAATCGTTGACATTGAAATTCTAATTTGATTCACATGTAAAATTTCAATTACGTGATCATATACGTCCAAAATGTAAGCAGTGAGTAAATGAGAAAATAATAGTAATGAAAATAAGAGGTTATCTAAGTAGGATTTAACAAGAATCTCAAATCTTTGTCAAACTAAAAGAAAATAAATGAATCTGATTGAAAGAAAGGAACTATATCAACTTTTATGTATCACATAAAATCATGTGACAAGATATTCTTCATGTCATTTTCATGAAGAAAATAATCATGTAAATATGCTTAAATTTCAAAACTTGTACAAAAAACAACAATAATTCCTTGTTTTAGTGATAATAAAAGAAACAAAGTAATGTAAAACAGAGTGAAGCATTTTTAGAATTACAGGTTAAAAGATGCATTATTTTACAGAGAGATAAACATTTGCAATTACTGGCTAGTTCAAAAGCCACTGCTTTTGTCTTGACATGAAATCAGAATCTACTAGTTCTTTTCTTATCATCATTGTCTAAGAAATAACCAAGGCTTCTTTTACTATTCTGATCTTTTACGATTGACACCAGAGGATTTAATGGATGCAGTATAGCGAGGATGTCAAAGCAGATCAGTTAATGGAAAAAATAAGAAGTGACTGCAAGATAGATTTAAAAGCCAAAAATTCTTATTTTGCCTTGCCAAAAAAGAAAAAAAAAATAGTAAAAGTAACTGCAGCTGAGCTTGAGGTTAATTGAAGCAGAAGAGCTCCAGTCAGATAGCTGCCAGAATCGGTAAACGTATTTTCCAAATCTTTCCAATCTCTTTTTTAAAAAGAGCAGCCCATCACTAATGAAACTGTTTACAATCCTCCTCTTCTCTCATCCAACTGCACATGCAAGATGGTGTCTAAAATGCTTATTAAATTTTCACTTTAAACTGACTTAACAGTTTTTCTTAAAGGGAAAGATTTGTGAGTTTTATTTGTGTGTCCATTTATTGAGGATTTCTAAAAGGATGAAAGATGAAGCAAAGTGCAGAATGCTGTTTAATCATAAAATCTACAACTCACCCCAACCATGTCAGTTTTTTCTTTTGAATTCCTTTTTAAATGATTGTATTTTCAAAACTTTTTGATGTTTGCATTATTTGCACACGATGAGACCTGTATCTATTTTCTAAAACATTTATTGCAATTGAATCTTTTTTTTTTTTTATATGTTGATCAGATGACCACTTACAGTATGCCGATATCTTTCATTTTGAAGAAAAACAGAATAGAAATAAAACTAAATACACAACATTTTACCATCACAGTTTTTCTGCATATCAACAATGTTCAACTCTCAAAACAATTTCAGATATGGTAAAGCAATTCTATCATTTTCTTTCATTCAATGAAGAAAAATGAGGAGAAGGTTGTTTGCAATAAAACTGTCTTGATTTGACAATGATGAATTTTCATGTAATTATAATTGATGCTAACAGACAAAAGACATGGGAAACATTCAGTTTTCCCAGTATGAATCCTAGAAAATGCATCATGATTAATGTAACAAAACCATTAAAACGTCACATTTTAGAAATAAGCAATACAATTGATTGTCAGTTAAACAAATATCAAGACAATAATCTTCAAACTAAGTTTTCATTTTGTACTTTCCACTGGTAGAGAATGACTTACATGATAAGCAGATTTCAGTCCACCATTATCAGCAATATTTTCACCCAATGTTGTTTTGCCATTAATCTGCAAAGAATAAAAAAAAAAAAAGTCTTTTCTTTTTTTTTCAGTTTAAAGACAAATGTCAATTATTAAATTTTCAAAACGAGATATGGAAGACAATTTTGATGATCTCCACTCCGTTAACAGTTTTCATTGTAAGAATTCATTTTAGATTTTGTAATCCTTAAGCATCAGCCCTGTAATATGTTTTAGAAACAAGATGAAAACTTTCTAAATACAAACTGGTCTGATGAAATTTTTACAATGCCTTTGTTACAAAGCAGCCTTCCTTTGCCAAACTTGCCCGAGAGATTCCTGCCTTTGTCAAACTAGCAGAATGAGGGCTGCGTTTAATCAGTTCTCTATCTAGGAAGAGAGAAGACAACATTCTCCAAAGTTCTTTTCCTCAATTAGAAAAGTCCATATTTTTTCCTTCCCAGAAATAGTTGCAGTGGAATGAATGCTTATTGGGAAAATACAAAAACAGACATGAGAATTTTGCCATGAAAAAATTGTTTCACTTGTCAAGTTGCTTCTATTAGTTTTCATGATTCTGGAAAAGGTGTTTTATTCAAATTTAGTGTATGAAAGGCAAAATACACAAAAATAACTTTGAATGTAGCTATTTATAATAGAATATTTTTGAAAATGATATAAAGGGAATACATCTTTTGAGAGCATTAATAATCATTATGACATTATGGGAAAAAACTCATAGACGCATAAAAAAAAACCCTCAATGAAGCTCATACATTTTTTTTTCATTAGTGGAGATCAGTATGAAATGCAGGCAGGATTATCTTCACTCAACATACAAATAAAAATATGAATACTGTTCAGATTTTTTTTCTCACATTTATCATATGAATTTGCTATTACAAATTTATACAACATTAACATTGTACACAAAAATGAATGCAACCTTCAATGAGAAATATTAAATACTCACAGGCTCATCATTGACTTTATACGATGAATACTGCTTGACCATACATTCTGTTTGTTTCTGAAATCGAGCAATTGATCCATTGTTCCACCAAGGACGTAGATTTCCATGTTTGTCATATTCACGGCCTGAAAAGCACATCAAACAAATTGGGAAATGGCCAAAGACTTCAAAGGGCAGGCATCATTTTTTTTTTTTGTTATGAAGTAACCATGAATTGCAGATTCTAGGAAAGAATAGACGACCTTTTCCTGATAAATGCATGAATAATGAAATAAAATGTCAAAAATAACAAGATAAATGTCTATTCAACAGCCTGCAAGTAAAATACAAAAGAATATTTTAGCATATTTAATATTTCAAAGGGTCATAAAATGTGAAACATTATTGAAAGCAGATGAAGAAGGGAAATTAGCAAATAATGACTTTGATCCTCTAACCAATCAATCAATTGCAAATATGGTTTGTTTGGGTTTCTTCATCTTCTTCTTCTTCTTCCCTGACATTATGTCAAGGTAAACAGTAAAAAGGCAAAAGAAAATAGTTTGTCAGGTTCTCTTCACCCCTAAAAGATTGTTGCAGTACAGTCTTCTTATCTTAATTCTTTACATTTGGCCATGTACCAGACATTAAGCTAAAAGAATTTGACATCAAACTTTTCATTCTAATGAAAAACCAATGTTACAAAGAAATAACATACAGAAATGTTTAAAAGCTAAAACTACAATTTCTGTTTTTGAAGAGAATTTCCTAAATAACAATAATTATCACGCACGATGACATTATTTGAATTCCCCACAAAAATGGATAACCTATCGTGTTTATAATTTTTTATCTAATATTTTGGGAAAATTGTCCAAAGTCAATTCACATGAAAATTTTCAGACAATATTGGCAACACTGACCTGCGCAATCATTATCGAAAACTTTTTCTAATATTTCACTGATCTGCGCAATTTAAACAAACTGGCCTGCCATATTTTTGTTATCAGCAAACTGGTGATTTGAGTGTGCCAAATTATTAAAAAGGTTTAGTAAAATTCCCAGAATTGAGTAGCCAAAACGTTTATTAATGTTGCACGTGAATGTTTATGATCAAAAGAAGCTAATAAATAAGATAATCAAACAAATAATAACAGATACAAACAAAGGCACAGTTTTAAACAAATTAATAGGGAATGTGCTTTCCCTGTTTTGAAATTACTTGAAGAAGTCGACGATCCATAGAATTTGTTAATTGTAGGATGTCATCTGCTGTAATGCCGCGAGATATGTCAAGAATTGCTTCCCACAACTCAGTGTTGCTCCTGAATTGTCGTCCGTTGGCGTACAGTCTTCGCTTCATGATGTTCCAAAGGTTTTCGATTGGGTTCAAATCCGGAGAATTTGCTGGCCACTTCATTTTTCAAGGTCCATCGAAGCCTAACTGTTTCAAATATTCAGTAGTCTTGTGAGCAGCATGTGAGGGAGCATTATCTTGCATAAAAACAATGAAGGCAACACTTTGCCTTTTCATCCACGGTTCAAGATGCTCCTTCATAAATGCTATGTATGCATCAGCAGTCATTTTGACACCATCTGGTACTCTCCATGAGCCTACTAATGTTTTTCCAATAATTCCACCCCAGATCATTATGCCTCCACTGCCTTGTTGGCGTCTCAAACGCTGATGGCGATTCTGTCCATTCATTACCCAGCCTTTGCACCATCTATCTGGCTCATCAAGGGTTGCTCAAGTTTCGTCTGTGAACAAAACTTTAGAGAAGTCAATCTTCCTATTGTCCTCAGCCCATTTCAATCGATTTTGAATGTGATTTCTAATCAACGGAGGCTTCGATACAGGTTTGACTAGTGTTGCTATTTCCCTCAGATACCGACACCGAGTACTTTTAGACACAGTAGGATCCCCAATGCGACTGAAAAGCTCTTGACTGGTAAGTCCAGGGTCCTTCGTGGCCTCTCGTTTAAGTCTTGACATGAGATGACATGAAATAACCCGTGGCTTGCCTTTATCTGCCCTTTTGAGTACTTGTGTAGGGTCGGCGGTGAACTTTTTTTTTATTGTTTGATGACACCTCCCTATCATTTTAGAAATTTCTAGGGTAGATTTACCTTTTGAGAGTTCTGAGGTGATAGTTTTCTTTTTAGCATCACTTAAACTGCTTCTACGGCCCATCTTTTCACTAAATTCTTACACTTTTCTAATAATTTGGCACTCTCAAATCACTGTGCTGATAACAAATATTGCGCCAGTTTGTTTACATTGTGCAGATCAGTACGGAAATTTCAGTGATTGCGCAACTCAGTGTTGCCAACATTGTGTGAAAATTTTGTGTGAATTGATTGGACAGTTTTTGAAATATTAGAAAAATAGTTATCTCGATAATAATTTCGCACGCAGTGTATATATATATATATATATATATATATATATATATATATATATATATAAAGTATATAATGTTAAATTTATAGAGGGTCATGAAAGGTGAGGTTCATTGAATATTGAGTATCTAAAAGAGATTTGTGTTTGTTGATTTGTAATGGTAAAAGGAAAGAAAAGAAATGACAATTCAACACATTTCTACCTTGTTTACCTTTCCCCTCTCTGGAAAAGGACACATTAAGAAATCTTTCTTTCATATCACAAATTGAAGCTTGTTCATTAAATAGTTGCCATGGCAAATATTCTCAGTTCAGAAGAAAAAGACGAAAAATCCAGCCAAGTGATGGAAAGATTAAAAAGAAAAAAAAATAAGGATATTTTTCAATGGGGTTTCATGTATTTTGTTCATTAAATACAAATTTCCATTTTTACTGTGGATTCTTCTGTCTTTCAGGTGACATTTGTGTATTTTTTATATTTATTTAATATTTTTTTTTAAATTTAGTTTAATTGCAGTTTTACTACAAAGCAACAAATGGAATTAAATATCATGCAAGATTTTATTAATTACTGCTCTTCCCATAATTAATAATTATTGTTCATTTAGCATATCATTAATTTTTAATTCAAGGAGGCAATTTAATGCTGATTCTGTAGACAAAGACAAAAAAAAATTTCAACTTTTGACATGAACTATTCTGAGATTCTCTCTTTCAATTTGGAATCAGCACCAGCATCTTATTTATTTGATTGAACAATGTAATTTTCATATGCAACCACCACTTGAAATATCCTGATAAAATATATGCAAGGATGGTGGTCTGATAGTGAATAAAAAATTAAGGAATTTTGCAGTGAATTCACTTCCTACGTAAAAAGCAAATATTTATCAACGTTAAAAGTTTTACTTAATCCTCCTTTTAAGCAGATGCATCTTAATGAATGTCCTTTCAACTGTACTATATTCTTTCTTTTTTTTAATCATTTCACCCCAAGCAAGATAATAAAGCCACTAAGATACAAGGGGTTACTGAGCATGAAAGAATACAAGAAAAATAAAAACATTATTAATGAGCGAGAACAATAAAAGAACAGGAATTTAAGATGACAGAAGATAGCGATTAACATTGCATTTAAATTTTTCATCAAAATTGATTTGAATTGAAAAAGCCAAAATAGTTCCACAAGTAAGAAGTGCAGGACAAGAAACTGTTAGCATAGAACTTACAGTTACATCTAGCAATTTCTGTAAAATGATGCGCTCCAGTTGCAAATCTTGTACTACACTTAAATTTGTAAAGTCGAGTTACCAAATTGTTCATGAGAACAGTTAAATAATTCAATAAAAAAACAGTATCCAGGCTCCAAGAGACGGATTATGCTCTTTGACAGATTCTCTTGCTATTGTTCTTTTAGAATATTGCGCAGTTTTGGTAATCAAGTAAACACCATTAACTTAGTAAAAGCACCTTATCAGTAAAAGCACCTTATCATAGGACAGTCTATGAAGTCACAAATTATACATTGTGATGCAACATAACACTGCATAAATAAATATTGATAACATCAGGGATGTCAGGTTTTATTTTGCGAACTAATTTCAACATAGATGTTTACTTATGAATAAATCCAAAAGGTGTCTGTCAGTTCAGATGTGAATAAATGATTATTTTATATATTAATTTAGACTATTTGATATTCTATAAGTATCACCAGTTTTTCACTCATTAATTTTGACTTTTATTTCAACTTGCAACAGATTTTATTGCTTTCCACTGATATTTTTTTGCTTATCACAACCATATCATGTTGAAACACCAGTTCTCGTATGATCACCAATGTTAAGCAATGTTGAGCCTGGTGGGTGACCTCTTGGAAATACCGAGTGCTGTAAATTTGGATATGCATGTGGTGTAATGGATAATGGATCGGAACTGTTAATTGGAGAGCTGAGTTCCAATTCCAGTTGGGTTCATTATATTCACTTATGCGCAAATACCCTTTGGGAAAGGTATGATTGCACATCTCCCTCCAGCTAGAGGTTAATTAGTAAGACTTGTATCACTAAATCATTATTATCTCCCCCAAAATAATTCTGACATTCTAAAAATATTATCTGGCTTTAAATAACCTGCAGAGTGTTGGTAAGCTATAATCTTTAGCTTACATTTTCTTTTGAAATGTACCCCACTCAGAAAATGTCTTGTCCAAGAACTTACACTAATTCTTTGCATTCATTTTGATAGTATCACCAACATTGAAAGAACCTATATTTTGAATGCTAATAATACTAGCCCAAAACATGTCAACTTAAGTCCCATTGGTTGACTCATTTTATAAAGAACCCAACCTCTCACCCAGCCATCAAGCCCCATACAAATGTAATTCTAGATTCATCATTAAAAATGATTGTTGAGAAATCAGTTACCATTTTTTGCTTTGTAATGTTTACTTAAAGGTTTGGGTTTCTTTCGTTCTTTCTACATTGAGAATTCGGATTCTTGCTGATCACTTTTACAGCTTATTACCATTTTATTTATTTCTCAGATCTTGTCTTGAGATATTCTTATTGCCATTTTTTTCTCATTATTATCTTACTATGTTTACAATTTCTTTTTTAAATTTCTTTGATCTCTCTTCAATGCTTTTCTCTGTTTCTAAAGTTGCAGTGACATCACTCAATTAATTTTCAATATTTTATTTCTATTTTGAGTTTATATCTTTCCTATGTCCCATCATAAT